CGAAAATAACATCTTTTCCCAATCCCGCTGAGTGCACATCAGTCTCATCGCCTTTACGGGATGCTAACACTAAAACAACTAGTGTGATGACAACGCCCAGCTCTGCTGCTCCACCTGTGCTTTCTCTGCCTGCTTTGTCTCTGCATTCTCAGACTACTCATACTATGTCTTATGCAATTGCTGTGGCGCTTTCGCCTGTTTCGCCACCTATTCAGTCTGTTCCGAATGTGCAAGTTACAAATAAAAACCCCAACGAAAAGTGATCCCAACAATAATCGCCGTAAGCTAAACCAACCCTTAATTAATGGGTCTAATAGCAATAAGGAATTAAGTGTAGTTTCGAAAATGACGTGGTTGCATATTTCTTCCTTCGCGAACAGTGTGACCACTGATGACATCTTGGAATACGTCTCTAAACACGCCGCTATCGATTAAAAGTTTCTGGTATGTTTTATGCTTATAAAGAAAGATACTAACGTGCGCGATCTTGCAAGAGTCAACTTTAAGCTGGGAGTGTCCGAATGGTGTTATAATAAGCTGCTGAATGCGAATATTTGGCCAGCCAATGTCAAAATTCCACCTTTCCAGTTTTTTTCCCAGAGTTGGTGCGCCCCAGCAAGAATCATAAATGCAGCCTCATATTACGGGAATCACTCCAAACATATTAATATTTATTTTCAAAATGCTTCCGGCATAAGGACAAAGTCTAAGCTTCTCTTTGCTCTAAGTGCACAATTGGAATATGACGTCTTTGTAATTATCGAGACCTGGCTTAATGTGGACTTCTGCGACAGCGAATTCCTCGATCCTAACAGCTACAATGTGTACCGAAAAGATCGCGATATGTCGAAAACAGGACTTTCCAGAGGAGGGGGAATTCTCATCGCTGTCCACCGGAAATTTCGTTCATCAGTGCTGCCGCTTGAAAATGGAAATTCCCTTCTGGACCAGCTTTGTGTATCTGTTATTGGTATCTCTAAATTTATTATTTGTGCGTCTTATATCCCACCTACTAGCGATGACTTACTTTACAAAGCCCACGTAGATAATATTGCAGACTTAGTATCTAAGCGGCCACTATGTAATTTTTGTATTCTTGGCGATTTTAACTTAGATAATGTTACATGGACCAATATCCATAATAATGTTGCCCTGATTCCTAAGAAGATAAATAGCTTTTCTGAATCTTATTTAGTTGATAATACTTTAAGTCTTAATTTATTTTTGTTATTTTTTGGCCTTATAACAATTATATTCAACAATTTTTATTGAGCTTGAGGCTGTTTTTTAAAGAAAATTTATTGTGGAAAAGCAACAATAATTTGAAAAAATGGTAGAAGTGATAGCTATTTCGGAAATCACCACATTTCCTCATCAGACTTCTTTCAGTAGGCTTCGAACCGACGATCCCACTGACTCAGCCAGTTGCCTATGCACCGTGCTAAGTACGCCTTGTAAATTATCGTTTGCTTTTTTCCACTTTTTCAATTTTTTTGTTATGCCAACACAACCAAGCGCAGCTATTCCGCTGCAATTCACTTGATCATGTGGTTGTTGGTATTGTTGGTTTTTGCTAATAATTATATTTTTAAAATGTTTAACTTTTAGGTGTGCACGTCCTTAAGTTATTTATTTTTATTATCTACACATCTAGAGACTTCTAATTGTATCTCTTTGATATGATGTCTACAACGAGGTTGATATCTAGACTAGGTTGATATCTAGAATTTGCCATAAATAGCTTTACTACATTTAGGGCCATTTTCTCATCTGACCTTTAGATTACCGGCCACTTTATCGTCTCGATATACGAGGTTTCGTTTTCCCATCAGCGCATTAATTTCTCGAATCGATAAATTGTTGCTCACCCGATGCAACCTTTAACAATTTTTACCCAACTTTAAATTTTGGTTTGGTTTTGGTTCATGACTCATATATTAGATATATTAGATATTTCAACCAAGGTTTTGGTTTTTGCTAACAGTTGCTCTTGCTCTATATTTGCTTATGTAGCATTGCCAACCTTTGAAATTTGATGACGAATGTAGNCTCATCAGACTTCTTTCAGTAGGATTCGAACCGACGATCCCACTGACTCAGCCAGTTGCCTATGCACCGTGCTAAGTACGCCTTGTAAATTATCGTTTGCTTTTTTCCACTTTTTCAATTTTTTTGTTATGCCAACACAACCAAGCGCAGCTATTCCGCTGCAATTCACTTGATCATGTGGTTGTTGGTATTGTTGGTTTTTGCTAATAATTATATTTTTAAAATGTTTAACTTTTAGGTGTGCACGTCCTTAAGTTATTTATTTTTATTATCTACACATCTAGAGACTTCTAATTGTATCTCTTTGATATGATGTCTACAACGAGGTTGATATCTAGACTAGGTTGATATCTAGAATTTGCCATAAATAGCTTTACTACATTTAGGGCCATTTTCTCATCTGACCTTTAGATTACCGGCCACTTTATCGTCTCGATATACGAGGTTTCGTTTTCCCATCAGCGCATTAATTTCTCGAATCGATAAATTGTTGCTCACCCGATGCAACCTTTAACAATTTTTACCCAACTTTAAATTTTGGTTTGGTTTTGGTTCATGACTCATATATTAGATATATTAGATATTTCAACCAAGGTTTTGGTTTTTGCTAACAGTTGCTCTTGCTCTATATTTGCTTATGTAGCATTGCCAACCTTTGAAATTTGATGACGAATGTAGTCAAGTTTCACTTTCGGAAATCTCTACGGAATAACAAATTTTTTTTTTTTAAGTGAGGAACGATTTATCTGCCCTGTTAGTAAAGGAAACTTTACTGCTTACATTAGAAAATGGTCCTTATAGTATAAATGGTGGTCTGGACATACAACATTGCAATCTGAGAAAAGCGTTGTAAAAAAAAGGAATTTGTAGACAAATGCGCATACCCTGAGAAGAAGTCGTTTGCCTGCAGGAGGAGGATCCAGAAAATTCTGAGCTGCTTGAGCAAAATTTTTACGTAATGCTGTGTCCACCACAAAGTCCGTATCTCAACGCCACCGAACATTTTTCGCTGTAGCCATATATTCAAAACTGAGTGCCTTAGGTTTTTGCTGTGAATCGCTTGTTTCTTGTTTAAGCTTAGCTTTTCTCTATACTAGGCTTTATTCTTTGGATATCAAGGGCCAATTGCTGGAAAATTCATAGCATTCCGCTCACTATTAAAAAGTTGTGCTACTGTAAGTAATAAAATGTCGTACATGCACTCAGTTTTGATTGCCAGTGTAAGTATTCATTGTGAAACTCAAGTTTGAGCAAAATCTGAAACTTATCTTAGCTAAGATTTTTCCTCACTAACTAGAACTTACGTTCAACTTAAGTTAGGTTGGTGAAACCGGCCCTTAGTTATACTACAATACCAAATTGTATGCAAATTTATTGAATTGTCCTGAGTTTTGCACATCGTCAAGCGATTTTCTTAAATATTTTTTGTTGTAATATCAACTAAATTTTTATAAAAAAATCTCAGAAAACTTTTATATAAAAATAATCCATACGTTGCGAAAAAGTGCTTATCTGGCAGGCCAATAATTTAGTGCGGCTCTGTACATACCCTGCAGAAAAAAATTATCAATTGATTAAATTAACCAACACATAGTTAGATTTATTGCGGGAGTTCGATAAATAACTAACTTTTTATTAGATACACCTTTTCCAATTGTACTTCGGATTTCGTAAAATTTACTTCAGATTAGTCAACTGTACTTCAGAAACTGTAAAATATACTTCAGACAAGTCAATTGTACTTCAGAAATCGTAAAATAGACTTCTGACTAGTCAATTGTACTTCAGAAACCGTAAAATATACTTCTGGGTTCACGATTATGGCAGCGCTACCGTACATTAAATTGGATTATCAAAATACAAAAAAAAAACTATAACTAGATTTTTAAATTGAATGTTCTAAAATCGAAATTCGGATATCCGCCGGATTTTAGCTAGTATCCAGCCGGATAGTCGGATAACAGAAAAACGCCCGGACAAGCGGGATTCCGGATATCTACCGGACACTCGCCACATCCCCAGTTATGAGTATCAAATTTGAATAAATTAGCGTCCTTTAATTTCGAAATAACGAATTTTAGCATTTCTGAAATTTACCGTTATATGAAAACTGGGCGTAATTTCAGTCCGATTTCAATAACTTTTAACGTCTTGTTTTTATGTGTCAAGTACAATAATCTTACCGAGTTTGGTACAAATTGTTCGAACGGTTACCGAGATACACAAATGTGTCCATAAGTGGGCGGTGCCACGCCTATTTTACAAAAATTTGTTATAGACGCATTTCTTGCTAAAGAATTATTGTAAATGTCAATTTTGAATAAACTAGTTTCAGTAGTAACTGATTTATCAAAGATTTCGTATTCCTCTAAATTACCTTTATATGGGATGAGGGCGTGGTTATTGTCCGAATTTAAAAATTTTCAGCCATTTGGTATGCTGTACCAAGACCAATAACCGGAGAAATTGGTGGAGCGGTTACCAAGATATGCCCATCTAATCATAAGCAGGCGTGGCTACGCCCATTTTCCAAAAATTTATAATATTCTTATTTTTCGCCTAAAAATCATTGCAATAATCACTTTTTAGTGAATAAGCTTTAGTAGTTTCTAAAATATCGCAGTTTTCGTATTTCTGAAAACTACCGTTATATGGGAAGTAGGCGTGGTTATTGTCAGACTTTTTCATTTTCAATACCATCCGTCGTACGTTCGAAAGAAGAGCACGTACCAAGTTTCGTTAGGATATCACAATTTTTACTCGAGTTATCGTGTGCACAGACGGACAGACAGTCACGGCTTAATCGATTTCTTTTTTTATTCCGAGCATTTATATACACATTTGTCTATATCTATCTCGATTCGTTTTGCACAATTGCGCTCGGGTATAAAAATAATTATAATGATAATAATACTCGTAGTATAGATATGTATAAATTATTGAACACTCACCAACAACATTGAGGTAACCGAATTGTGTTTTCGCCGTCACCGTGTTTATCTGGCACATGTACCGGCCTTTGTCCTCTTCTTGCACGTTATTTATATGTAAGTACCAGGTGCGATGACGGTCGTGTTTATCGTGAGTTACACTGATACGTGGATTGCGTGTAATCACGTGATTGTGCACCGTTAATATTGCAGATTGTTCAAAATGCATCCAGGCAACCTAAAATCAAGAATGGAGCTTTTCAGTTCGGATGGTTCCCAAACTTATAAGAACATATGTGCATGCATACTAGGGATGCTGCGAATGTGGAATTTTAGACATCCGCGGATGCGGATGTTTCACAGCTAACATCCGCGGATGCAGATGCGAATGCGAATGTCAAAAATTTTTAAGAAATAATTTTGGTGAGCACATTAGGTGATTTAGGTAAATAAAAAATGGAAGATAGTAATTTTTAATACTGTTATTTAGTAGTTAAATTAAAAAATTGCAACATTGTATTTACGAAAGTTATTTTTCTGCCTTTTCGGGTTGCAGCCTGTTTCCTAACGGGTCGTAAATCAAACCTGCGCCCCTAAATAACTACTCGCTCGAGGCGACAAACTTGAAAACTTGAAACTTGACATAATTGTAAATTCTTTTCGATTGACGCCATAATTCTATTTTGAGAATTGCATCGGGGCTGCAAATGTCGGATGTATCCTCCTGACTTCCATCTTCACAATCTAGCATCATGGCAAGACCGTTGTGTTCCAATTTGGAGAACCAATTCTTTTGGTTGTTTGAGAATTTTGAGAACCTGTTACGTCATCAGCGTTTTTTGATTTTAGTTTTTGTAATTAATTTTTAATGCTGTCCTGTGACTGGTTTGAAAAATGTGTGCTTATAGCGACGTTGTGAATAGGTGGATATGGCAAATAAATGGTTATTTTCTTGGAATGAAAATGTCGAAGAAAATTCTTTTTTGAAAGTCGTGCCTGTCAGCAGAATTAAGCAGAATATACACAAGCAAACTTTTCTGCACTACATGTCAAGTATGATATACCGTCGCATAGTGGATAGGCGGGTGTGCACACCAAATTTTAGGTATGTATACATGTATGATGAAAATTTAAAATATTCAATTTCTCTGCTTGTTGTTGCGATAGGTCTTAACGTTTATAGTACGCAATGCAGACAGATAACATATTCGTATAGAAAATTATAAACCCAGCAAACATTTGGATTGACAAATATGTCACTTAATATAATTTTTACAACTAATTTCGCATTACAACTTTATTAAAGACTATTTCATGCAAAAAAAAGAAAATCAAGAAATCTTTAATATAGGAGCCCATGTAAAACCGTGTAAACGACTTATGTATGTATAAGGATAAATCATTAAAATAACAAATTCTAATAGTTTTAATTTTTTATTAGTACTCTGATGTAAATGCATATTTAATAAAGATACGAACTCATACATACATATATGTGTGACGGAAGCTTTGGGAGAACTTTCTTTTACGGCCTATCGTTGTATGCACGGCCAAGCCATATAGATTTATAATCCACAATTGTGGATATTTCGAGATTATTAAATAATAAAAGTACTTTTAAATAAAAGTGAGATCCTTTGGCAACGTGTGCAAGTGATAAATATAAATTTCGGCCCACCCATCCCGACGCTATAAGGAAAGCCAATCCGAAACTTTTGCAGACTGTTTATTGGAACAAATGGTGGTAGTACATTCACCAAAAAACCCTTAAATATGACTCCATAATGAGCCCAATAAAAGTCCACTATGACCGATTCGCGTCTCTAAATGTTTACTGGGAAGAAGTAGATCCGTATTTCGTGATGTTCGCTCACTTCAACGATTACGACGAAATGGAGTTTGAACAACGTGTCGCATAGGTGTATACCCAACTGACATGCGACCATGTATGCATACAAGTCTGATTGTGTATATTCTGCTTTAGTTTAAAGTCTTGTTATTTTCTTAAAAGGGTACCTCGTTCTTAATATAATTTGAATTATTGGAATCACGGACGATAAAGGTCTCAGATCTGCTTAGTTCCGTTTTATTGTTCCATTCCATGCACTCAATGTGTTTGGATATACTCTTTGAGGCGAATGAATGCAAATTTTCAACACATCGTTGATACTATTTTAAAAGGGCTTATTTCACATTGTCGCTGAAATACAAAAAATCACAACTAACTAAATTTTTGTATTGCCTAAAACGATGTGGGGACTTAAGATTCGATGAAATGCATCATAATCAATCAAAAAAAGAATTTTGAATTTTTAGTTAGTTACGGCTTTTTGTATTGCACAATACTCGCATTCGCAAAAGCTCCGCATTGTTTATTGCGAATGCGAAAGCGAATGCGAATGTTAAAATTTATGCGGAAGTTCCGCGGGTGCGAATGCGAATATTCGCAACAACCCTGATGCATACATACATATTAGGCTTGGGTAGCTTTTGAACTAAAGAGTAAATGAGCCAGCTCTTTTAACTGAACTAGTTCTTAAGTTCGTTCATTAAAGTGAACAAAAATTTTCTGTGGCAACACTCCAATAAAAGTGGGAATTCGGAATTCCCGCTAAAAAGAAATTAACATCAGAATTAACATCATTAGTGCAATTTGTGTAAAAAAGCAAATATTTCGTTGAGGTTTTGGGATTAGTTGTTTAACAAAACACTTTCGTTTTCAGATGCCAAAGCGAAGCGCAATTTGGTGGCATTGCTGGTGACACTCATGGAAATTTGAGTCACCATATGAAGGCCAAACATCCTTTCGTTATTTATTAGCTGTTGAAATCTCGACGCCATCTTTGTTGTAAGAAGTGAATAATGAAGAGAATGAAGAAAACCGCGTAACTGTTGAGCGCATGAATAATCATTTTTATTACGCAAATTCTTGTACAAATTATGTCGTTGTGTTAAATTATTCTTTACCTTATGTATACACTCGTTGTCACAAGTGAAAATGAAGAAAATTGCAGTAAAAAGCCACCCCCAAATTGTAAACAACAAACAAATGTAAACAACGGCTAATGTCAAAATCACCCTACTTTTTTCCCATGATGCCATAATGAAAGGTGTTGCACGTTGTGGCAGCTCGAAATCGAACTACCTTAGGTCAATATCGTATTTTGGAAGTACAAGAAAAACGGGAAGAAAAAAAGCATTTTAGTTGAAAAAGTACTAAATTTTATGCCATCTCAACAGCGTATAAGGCCTGTATGCAGCTCTCAAGAAAACGGTCAAGAAAAATTTGCCATTATTTCGTGTATGTTGCCAAGGAATTCTGACATTTTTGATACTTCACAGCCTGTTGCCTCACTCTTTCCTCAAGAAATAATGGAACGGGCATATATTTCTGTTGCAAACCTGGATTGCCTTGTGCTCTTTTTTCACAAAAAACTTTAGAAAACCGTAATAGAAAGCGTAGTAAATTTCTTAAGAACTGCGTACTGCCTTAAGGAAATTTGGCTCAAGAAAATTTCTTAGCCATTTCTTGTACGTCATTTTATATGGAGTTTTTGCTTTTCTTGAGAGCTGCATACAGGCCTATACGCGGAAAGCTGATCTGCACAAAAATACTGTGGCCCCTTATCTAGTTTAGTCTAGGCAAAACTAGTTTGTCCTAAGATCAGGTTGGCCGGTAACATATATGTATAAGGCTTGATAGTCTCATAAATTTGTAGATGCAGTGGTCGTTCAGTATAACGAATGATATAATGTCTGGGTTCATACGCTATATAGCAAAGTACGTCAAATCGAACTGAAATTTTATTATGGGAATTCAATAAAATCAGTCCATATATTACATATGAGACCCATATTCCAATTTCCCTTAATGTGTTCTGTTTTTTTTTTTAATTTTTTCACCTAATAAATAGCAAACGTTTACGCGACGGAGGTATTTTTCCAGTTCAATAAACGCGACCACTTGTGAGAAGTAATTCTTTTGAACTGATGGTAATTCCACGTACGCAAAAATCATGTTAAATCATGTCATTCAAGCACATAAAAGGTGTGTACTCGTACGCCCAACTATCTAAAGTTTTAGAAAACTTTTACTGGTTTTGCGTTCTCGTACCCAAAAAACTTGCAAAGTAGGGGAAATTGAGAGAGTAAAATGTGAAAGAGAGCTGCAAATTTCTGCTGGAAAAATTTTTCCCAGCTAAAACTTGCAAGTAAGAAAATCAGCTGATCACAAACACATGTTTGTAAATAAACGAAAGAAAATATGGCCTTTTTGAGTTATTATAGCAAATTTTTATTATTAATGCTAGTATACAACTAAAAAGTGCGTAAATTTAATAAGCACAACATTCATTGAGTTTATTTTTCGTTATTTTGCTATTAATCTCCAGTTTATTTACTTTAGTGTGTGCTGACTATGGTGGCCGTATGACACNGGTTTTGGTAGGTTGATTGTTGAAATGAAAATTTTATAATTTTAAACCTACTCTATTACATTTTTTTTGGATCAATGATGGGTGCTTGGAGGAGATACTATTGTTTTTAATGCGTCACCATGTGATATTACAAATAATTATGAGAAAAATAACTTATTCATTCCAATATAATTAAATCGTATTTTAAAAAGGTTTTTCTTATCCAAAACTATTCACATGTATAAAATGCCAAATCGGAGGAAAATGCACCAAGCAGAAAATAAATTGCCAAATTAATCACCAGTGGCAACTGTGCAAGTGATCAGCTGTTTCGAAGGTTGCAAGTTATTGCAAATTTTGCGTTCTCGTACTTTTGTTGATATTTCGTCTCTTTGAGAGCCAATGCTGCTAAATTCTCAGAACTTTTGCTGCTGGAGAATTTTGTCCTCTCAATACGAGTACACACCTAAAGTAAACAAGCGTTCATTATATAGAATACTCATTTTTTCAACCGTTCGTTATTTAGAGTAATCAATACATTTAAAAGGCATTCGTTATTTGGAGCGCTCGTTATATAGGCATTCGGTAAACTGGACGACCACTGTAATTACAATAATAAAATTAGGCGTGTTTCCATTCACAGGAATATGATAATATTCTTAAAATGTTTGAGCTGATGAATACCCAGCTAGAACAGTATGGCTTATAATTCCTTATACATATGTGCCGCATCACTAAGAAAAGTATCCCTTATGAATTTGAAATGTTTCCTTATATTGTACAGGCCAAATCGAGAAATTCATTTACGTATGATC